GAAACCCTGTTTCACCGCATGTGGCAGTGCGAGGCGAATGTGGGTCCTGAGTTTGAGGCCAGTGACAAGCTACTACCGCGAGCTGTGGCGGGGGCCGAAGCTGACCCTGCCCTGTGGCTCCGTGGCATTCCACCCGTCGCTCTCACTACGCCCGCGTTCGAGCCATTGACTGGGAGGGACGGGTGGGAGTTTGTTGGTGCGGTGCGGGATGGGCTGCCGTCGTGGGAAGGAGCTCGTAACGCTGAGGGCGAGTTGTTTCTTTTTGGCGACGGGTCTGGCGGCGCCTTTTCCGACGACGTCAGACGGCGACGTGTTGGTTCTGGCCTCGCGGCCCTCCGATGGGACCCTTCTTCGGCCTCCTGGGCCCTCCACGCGGGCCTCCTCGCCCCCCTCCCAGGCCCCCGCCAGACTGTCCCAAGAGGCGAATTGCATGCGTTTTGCCTGGCTCTTGAGACGTGCCAGCAGGATTTCACGTTTGTTACTGATCACCTAGCCCTGCAGCGCGGCTGGCAGAATGGCAGATGTCTCCGACCTGGCAGCCTCAGAGGCAAGAATAAGAATGGGGATCTCTGGCTGAGAATTCGGCACCTCGTGCAGGATCGATCTGGCGGCTGCTCCTCGGTCTCGGTGCTCTGGACCCCATCTCACGCCGATCCCCTCACTTTGAATGGTTTCCAAAAATTTATGGCTCTCGGCAACCAGCATGCCGATGAGCTCGCGGGAAGCGCGGCCCACAAGTCGGCCACCCTTGCCCTCCCGCCTGTCCCCAGGACCGATGGATATGACGCTATTGCAGCCATCGTCCGACAGAGGGCCCGACTGATCTTACGTTCCTTAGGCAAGAATTCAGAGCCTCGAGGACAGTGGCCAGAAAGGCAATCCACCCAGGAGTCAGCCCCTCGCTCTCAGTTGCAGACCGCGATCGCGGCTTCTCAGCACAACTTCGAGCGGTGTGCAGACAAATGGAGATGCCCTGCCTGCCTCATCATCGTTGACGCGTGCCACGTTATTCCAGCTGCCGCCACTGAGTGTGTGCCGCCTTGCCCCCTTCCAGAGTTCGCTGCGTGTGGAGAGGTGCTGTGGTCGAGGGGTCCCCGCGTGATCAGTGGCAAGTTGATCCACCCCTCCCACACTTTGGCCACCATCCCCAAGTGGCAATTGTTCTTTTGTGTGAAGTGCGGCCATACGGCCACGCACCAGGTTAAAAGCCTTCTTTTGCCGTGCCCTCTCTCCCACCAAGTGGGAGAGCGCAGGGCCCTGGGACCCACTGGCAAAGGCCTCGAGAACCTCAGCAGGATCAGGCGAGGCCTCCACCCGTCCAGAGCGGGTCCCAGCAAGGCTGTGCTAGAGGCTTTGCACGTTTCGGCAGCCGAAGCCGCGATCGGTTCCTACGCGGCGGGTGCTGCCACCGAGTAAATTGCGAGGCCAGGGGGGCCTGTCGCGGTGGGCCGTGGGATGTCGCCCCCCACGGCCCTCCGAGAAATACTGGATGGCCCCCCTGGCATCCCTGGGTTCCGAACGGACTACGTCCGATTGCTCCACTCCACTCCTCCTCCTCCTCCTCCTCCTCCTCCTCCTCCTCCTCCTCCTCCTCCTCCTCCTCCTCCTCCTCCTCCTCCGCCGCCGCCGCCGCCGCCGCCGCCGCCGCCGCCGCCGCCGCCGCCGCCGCCGCCGCCGCCGCCGCCGCCGCCGCCTCCTCCTCCTCCTCCTCCTCCTCCTCCCTCTCCTACATGAGGTAATGGTGGTGGAAAACCGGCCCATCAAAATGGGGCCCGAGCGCCCTCAGATCCGGGCGGCGCTCGGCAGGGTGGGGCCCAGACCCAGGCGATCCGCTCGCGCCGTGGCACAGAACCGAAACGACGGGCACGTGGTTTGCGTTGCCTCGATGGCCAGACCTCCGTCTTGAGCTCTGTTCTACCACGCCGGGGGGCAGGATGGGGCAAAAACGGGGCACGCCGCACCGTCGAGGCAACCAGTGGTGCGGCGTGATCCTCCGAAGTCGCGACTTCTGTTCACAACATCGGTCCCCAGAATCGGTACGACCGAAATGAGTTTGGAAAGAATGGGCACGAAGACCAGCCACAGTTCCTGCACATGTGGAACAGGACTCGCTGTCGGCGTTGTCGCGGACGGTGTGCATGTGAGGCGGACGGTCACCTGCCAAGCAGCGGCATCCGTCGGGTTCGAACCACATGTGCTGTTGGGCGTCGTGCCCAGTTTGTCCATATCCTGGGCGCTATGCACCGCCTCACCAGAAGGTCGGCTTCTCATCCCGAGCGGCTTCTCTGACGGTCCTGGAGCCCCGCGAGGGATTCCCCATGGAAGCGGAGAAAAGACCGTGCTTTCTGTTTCGCGACGCGAGGGGATCCAGGTGCGGGCCAAGATGGACGAAGAAAAACTGCATAAACTTACACTGTCGAGAGGACCACGCGGACTCTTACGATAGGCGCAGGACCCACCTCGCCTGGCGCGCGGAGCGCACCAGGGGGTCCAGCGCCGACCCGAGGAAGTCCACGCGGAGCTCGGAAAGTCTACGGTCGGGACCTTGTTTCCTCGGCGTGTTGCGACGGCGGCCCTGGCGACACGAAACGCCCTGCTGACGGCGAGTCGCTGAGGCTGGGGAATGGAACGGGACGTGGACGCACGGGGACCGGGACATGGTAAGCGTGTCGCGCCGAAGCGTGGTGGATGAGAACCAGCGCCGCGACACGCTGAGCCAACCTTCCCGACCGCATGTTCATGTTGTTTTCCCTCAACATCGAGCTGTGGATGCCATGACAATGAGCACTCTAACAATCCTACATTGAATTAACGATGTGCTTAAAATGTGTGAAACATGTTCGAGACATACTTGACTTGAGACATCTGGAAATTATGGCAGCCTGCTTCCTCTCCATTGATCGTCCTCCACAAACATAGAGGGCCTGACTCCGAGACCCGAGGGCTGGGCCCGGACGGGCGGCGAGAGTGAAGCGAGGACCCTCGAGCGCACCCCGACGTCCGTCCGTGTGATCCAGCCGGCGGCCCCAGACCTCCCGCCCGCTTCCACGGGCCTGGATCTCCGTCCCGGTTCCATTCTTGAGCGCCCCGGGGCCCAGCGGCGGCCACCGAGGGCCCAAATCGGGGAAGCACGCCCGGATTGACACAAGCAGATCGTCGGAGATCTGCGCACGGCGGGGGGCGCGGCGGCCCCGCGACGCAGCGGCAGCACCACCGAGGGCGCGGCGAGAAGGCCCCCGCGCGCGGCCGCGCGCGGGGCAGTCTTCCACCAGACCTGGGCGCCGCAATAAAGGCACGGCGGCCGGATCTTCTCCGCGGCCTCGCGCGGTTAGCGCTCCATTAGATCAGGGTGCCACAAACAAAAAGTCGTGGCGGCCAGGTCTTCGCCAGTACTAGCCTCTGGCAACCTTTCCCGTTCGCCCACGTTTCGACCGACACGAATCCCTCAGATCTGGACGGCGCTGAGCATCGTTCGGCGGATCCCTATTATTTTTGCGCTGGTGTATCCTAGAGTTTTCAGCCTGCATCCCTATTGGTGGGGACGGGCGCCACAGAAGCCGACGGGAACGGCGTCGATCCTCATCGAGGGAAGTGGGCCAGCTACCGGGGAAGAAGTCGACCCGATGGGGATGGGGAGGGCGCTAACGGGGTGGTGTGAGCACGACTGTGTGTTCAAGCCATCGTGTAAACGACTCTTAAGTAGTACCGTTTTGTGACACATGTGTTGCGAAGACGCAGCGTGTTTACAGTCGAAATGCAGTCGTGCTTCGGGCTACCCTATGTTGTCAATGGTGAAGTGGTTGGGGAGGGGGGTGGTTTGCTGCTGCTATTTCGCAGCAAGACCGTCCGTATACGTTTCGTCACAATGTTGGTTGTGTTTACTGTGCATGCGGCGCGGGCAAAAGGGGATGCTCACTGTGTCCCGATCCCCGGCCACAAATGTGTCTCTGTGAAGGCGCCGCCATGCATGCGAGGGCACCGAACATGAGCAGACATTCGCTTTGATCCGTTCTCGCTCCAGCGAGGCTGGCCAATTGGGAACAAAGGTTTCATGACCCGATGGGGACGTGGACGGGTCTGTCGGTGCCGAATCGCCAAGACAAGATCGCAACGGCACGCTGCTCGCCACCGAGGCCGGCGACAAAGTGCGCTGGATGCAAGTCCGACCCCAAGGGACCGGTTGAGAATTCCGGGGGGCCGACATCACGGAACAAGTGCCAAGCCAGAGGAGAGGGTTATAAGGGCGCGGCCCGCGGCCGAACCGAACATTTCCAGGACGAGCCCCGCCCTGGAAGCAGAAGCAGCAGAAGACAGCAAAGACCAAGCTCTCGGAGCGGCTCCGGACACGCATGCCCATGCTGCTCTTGTTCCTCGGTCCTCGCCCCTCGTTGCCTCATCCCTCCCCGCTCCCTCCCCCATCCCATCCTCGCCCCCTCCCTCCTCTCCGCGCGCGCCTCCGCAGCTGCTTCGTCCCCTCCGCGCGAGGACAGCCGACGACGAACCTCAGGCGGGCCCAGCTGGCCAGGCCTTCGCGCCCGGTGGAAGCCTGCCTCTGGTTGCGGATGCCTTAACAATGGACACTCTAACAGTCCTATCATCGAATTTAAAAAGTGTGTTTCGAATGTCGGAAAATGTCCTGATGATGTTTATTTGAACCATGGTTGTTTATCAAAAACAAAAAGGAAAAACAAACAAACAAACATGTTTTAACTGGATTTAACGCATGCTCTAGACATCTGGAAACTATTTGGCAACATGCTTCCTCTCCATTGATCGTCCTCCACAAACCTCGGGTGAGCGTCTGGAGTGCCCACCTGCCCCCCTCTGCCTGGGCCTGACAGGGACCCGCGAATCTCCTGGCCGCTCGCCTTGTCCAGGCCCCGCACCGGGAGCACCACAGAAGACCCCTCGCCTCCTGCTTCCTCACCCCTTCTCCGTCCCTTCTCCCTCCCTCCAGAATGAAGCCTCCGTCCTCCCCCCTGCAGGGGAAGCGCCGAGGCCTCGTGCAGCCCATGCGGATCTCGTCCCCCTCCGACAGCTCGTACGTGGCACCGGGGAGGTCCTTGACGACCTCGGGGCCGCACCCCGGCGCTGCCCCAAGTCTCCGACGATCTCGGCCTCGGGGGCCCGCTGTCGGGCCCCATAGGACCGTCTGAGACGGAGCCGGGACGAGGGACTGCCCCCCGGTGGAAGAGGTCGGGACCTGCCTGAGGCCGCGCACTGAACGAAGCTCTTCGTCGGATGTCTGGGTCGACGTCGTGCTCTTCTTCGCAGCGAGGACCGCCCGGAGGTCGGGCGCGTCCAAGAGGGGGTCTCTGATTAGGAAGGGAGGGGGGGGGATTGGCGCAGACTGCCCCGCGGCCATCTTTTTCCCCCTTCACCACGCCCGCAGCAACGAACACTGAACGATTGGCACCGAGCCGTGAGACGGGACACCTCCCGACAAGCCGGGAACTCTACACGCGATGTCATGCACAGCGAACCACCCGTAGAGGAGAGAAGGGAGGAACCAAAGGAGGAACGCGAAACGTAGCCTGGCCGGCCGCGCGACGAAAAGAGGGCGAGGCTCGGGCATGAGCAAGAGCCCGCAAGAATGAGAGAAAAACACAGTCAAGCGAACGCGCGAGCAGTCTATGCCCCGGCAAACGCCACGGCCCTAGGGTCTGCACACGAGAGCAGACCAACCAGTAGGGGGAGGGGGGAAAGGGGCGGCGAGGCCAGAAGCAAGCAAGGGGCTAGCAGCTCATGTCCGCAGAAACCCCCAGACTTCGCTGGAGACACCCGCCGCATTGTCCCGCACGAGCGTGAGGAGAGGAGGGCGAGGAGGGAGAGAGAGGGAGAGAGAGCACAGTTCAGCCGAACAGGGAAAAGCCAATGCAAGTCCTATGTTTCACAAACCTTTCCGGTGACGGGTCGGGCAAGCATCCGAAAGCCTGACCCTGGCGGCAAGCAGCCGCGACCGCGCGAGCAGGGAGCGGCGCCCAACGCACGAGGCGTCCATGGACGGTCGGCCGGGGGCGAGCCAGCCGGTCCCCGATGCGAGCGAATGCAACGGAATACCAGTTACAGGAGTGCGTGCAAAGCGAGAAAAGGGAGGAGGTCCTCAGAGCTCGTCGCATGCAGAAATTCTGGGACCTGGGAGACCGAGTCGACCTGGTGCTCGGTGTCCTGCGGCTGCCTCCCATGGTTATCATCCGAGACGCGGCGCGCCTACATAGTCTCTATCGGCTATCCTGAACCGTGTTGAAGAGCGACGTGGTCATCGAGGCCATCGTGCTAGATACCGTAGTAACGCTGGACATTATGACACTGGAGATCGACTTTGTGCTCAGTTCCGTCGGCACCTGTTGGTCCGTCGGACATGCTTTGACTAGACGAGCGTGAAAGGCATTCGATGATTGACGCATTTTGCGAGTAGGCATTTTGCGAGTAGTGGAACGCATTCGGTGATTGACCGTCGGTCATGTTTTGGACGACGGACGAAAATACATCAACCGTCGGAGCCCTGGAGCTGCTGGCCGTCGCCGTCGTGCAGCTCAGCGATGTCGCGCCGCTGGTGATCGATGCGCTCGGCGAACTCGTGGTCATCGTAGTCTGGCGATGCTGCTGGCGTCGGCGCTGGTGAAGGCGCAGGCGCTGGTGCCCGCGTAGGCGCCGCGCTGGTGCTGGCGTCGGTGCTGGCGACCGCGCTGGTGTAGGCGTTGGCCTTGGTGCCGGCGTAGACGCCGGCTTCGCTGCTGGCGTCGGTGCTGGCGTCGGCGCTGGCGTAGGGGCCAGCGTTCGTGCTAACGTCGGCGCCGGCGTCGGCGGCGGTCTAGGCGCTGGCGCGCCGGGGGAGTTTACTTGATCAGACACTGCCGCCCCTTTTGGGTTCAGAACGATTGTCCCGCTGGCGTCGGAGCCAGCGTCGGCGCTGGCGTGGGCGCAGGCGTCGGTGCCGGCGTAGGCGCCACGTTGGTGCTGGCGTCGGTGTTGGCGTCGGCGCTGGTGTAGGTGCTGGCGCTGGAGTTGTCGTAGGCGCCCGCGTTGATGGCGGCGTCGGTGACGGCGTCGGCGCTGGCGTAGGCGCCGGCGTTCGTAACGGACTCGGAGTCGAATCGGATTGGCAGCGCCAGGATGCACAGCAGCGCCATGCAAGCTTCGGGCCGCATCGGATCGCCCGAAGGTCGGAATCGGATCGAATCGGGCCCGCCAGAGCCGATATCGAATGGAATCGATCGGATCGAAATGGAACCAGGAGGGGCATCCAAAGGTTCCTCGGCCAGAGGCGGAGGTCTAGAAGGAGGGAGTGAGGCGGCGGTGGCACGGGCGACCTGTTTAAATACAGGGACAGCAGCACGGGTGTCCTCACCCTGTCTTCGCCGCCGTAGCCATCTCGGTTCCCGATCCATTCCCCGTCGTAGAAGCACGCGCGGCGCCCCGAGGATACAAGGAGGGCGTAGTAGGCAGGATCCCCGATACACTTCCCCGCCGCTGCCCCCGACGTAAACTGGGAGTAGCAGCAGGCAAAGTCACCGAATCACTTCCCATCATTGAAGCACACGCGATCGCCGACGCAGAGAAGGTAGGCGTAGATGGCAAGGTCACCGGATATACGTAGCACCCCGCAATTGCGGATAAGGGTGAGGGGGCGGGCGCGGGCGACGCAGGCGTCGACCCGGCGGACCTCGTGGCCTTCACCTTCCCTGTCGATGGCGCCCTTTTCCTCCTCCTCCTCCTCCTCCTCCTCCTCCTCCCTCCACCTCCTCCTCCTCCTCCCCTCCTCCTCCACCTCCTTCTCTTTAACGAATGCACAAACACATCCCGCCGCAGGCGCCGAATCGTTGGCTTGTTCAGTGGATTAGTTGGGCGTCGCGGGTTGTCGCGGTTGCATCCACCTCCAACCCCCTGGGGGGGAAGGAATCACGGGGCAGCCCGCCGCAGACGGCCGAACAATTTGATTTCGCACAAACTGACAAGGTAACACTGCACGCGGTTTGGGTCGCAGGTTCTCCACCTGGAACGGATGCAAAAGAAACCCGCCGCAGGCGCCGAAGTTTTGGCTTGTTCAGTGAACGTCGTTTGGGTCGCGGGTGGGGCGCGGGCTCTCCACCTCCACCTGAAAAGAATTCAAAAACGCCGGAAAATTCGATTTGTACACTGGACGCGGTTTGGGTCGCGGGTGGGTCGCAAGTTCTCCACCTCGAACGAATGCAAAAGAAGCCCGCCGCAGGCGCCGAAAATCTTGAGTGGGTCGCGGGGAAAGTCGCGGGTGGGTCGCGGGTGGGTCGCGGTGGGTCGCGGGTGGGTCGCGGGCGCGGTTTGGGTCGCGGGTGGGTCGCAGGTTCTCCACCTGGAACAAATGCAAAAGAAGGCCGACCAGGCCCCGAAAATTCCGGCAAGTCGCGGGGAAAAAAAAAAAAAAAAAAAAAAAAAAAAAAAAAAAAGAAAAAAAAAAATTTTATAAAAAAAAAAAAACAAAAAAAAAAAAAAAAGATAAAAAGAAAAAAAAAAATAGGTGGTCGCGGGGTGGGTCGCGAGTGACTCGCGGGTGGGTCGCGGGTGGATCGCGCGTGGGTCGCGGGGTGGGTTGCGGGGGGGTCGCGGGTGGGTCGCCGGTGGGTCGCGGGTGGGTCGCCAGGGGGGTCTCAGGGTGGGTCGCGGGCGGGTCGCGGGGTAGGTCGCGGGTGGGTCGCGGGTGGGTCGCGGGTGGGTCGCGGGGTGGGTCGTGGATGGGTCGCGGGGTGGGTCGCGGGTGGGTCGCCGGTGGGTCGCGGGGTGGGTCGCGGATGGGTCGCGGGGCGGGTCGCGGGCGGGACGACGACAACAAACAACAAACAACAAACAACAAACAAGAAACAACAAACAACAAACAACAAACGAGAAACAACAAACAACAAACAACAAACGAGAAACAACAAACAACAAACAACAAACAACAAACAACAAACAACAAACAACAAACAACAAAAACAACAACAACAACAACAACAACAACAACAACAACAACAACAACAACAATTACTACCACGTGGGGACACTCCGTTCTCACCAGTGCCAGGGTTTTCATAGGAGGCGGGCAATACCCCAACTTTGTGGGGGGGCCGGTTCAAGCTCTACCAAATTTCCAAACGACTCTTCGCCACCACCCACACCAGCTTCCCGCCCTATGACGTTCGGACACTTCACTTCGTGGCATGCGGACGACCGTGGCTACTATTCAGGGCCCCGCGGCCGACGACGACGGCGTGCGCGCGCGAAGGAAAAAACGAATGTGTCCCGCGTGGTATTATTTGACAGGGATGATGGCCCTGGCAGGTGCGCAACCGTTGTTGCAGAAGTTCGAAAAAGTTGCTCGCAAAAGCCCGTTTGACAGAAATGTTTAAAAAAGTGTTGGGTTTCCTACGAATCCGCAAGAGCGCGCGGGATGAGATTTTGACATTTTTTTGTTGAAAAACCATTGGTTTTTTTTTGATGTTTTTATGTTAAAATCGCTGCGAACACTAAGGTTTTGGAAGGATTTCGTCTTGCGCGCGCGAATGTCCACTTTACCTTTTTTTTTGCAAGGGATTCTTGAAATTTGATTATATTAGAACAAGAAATGTCATTTTCTATTGTTTTTGCAAGGGAAAGCGGATTACAACAAAACAACCGGATCCTGTACACACCCTCTTGTCTGAGGCTTCCTCACGAAAATGATGAAAATGTAGCTGCGGCCTAGGCGGCGCAGGGGGGGCGCGCACCAGGGGGCCCAACAATAATTATTCTTTAGAATAAATAATGTTCAACAACAACAACAACAACCATAATCCGCATCGCGGAATTCCACTTCAGCCACGCACTCAGGGACAGTGAATGACCGTTCGGTTCAGCCCCCTCACTCTGACTGGACTGGATCTTCAGGCCTATACTTTTGACACCCCACCTCCCCGCGCGCGATGCCCACGTCACCCTGCGCGGCGCAACCGAGAATATACTCGAAAGACAGCAAACCCGGCGCCCCCCACCATGGGGCGCCCTCGGGACGTTGAGCCCCAGCGCCTGCCGCCCCCGAGGCGTTCCCCAACGCAGGGGCTTCCTCGGACTCGGCCG